GGTTATATATATCCGTCTCCGTCTACTGCTCGAAGTTGGCCGAAGCGCCGAGCGCACACGGACACGGCTGTTCGCCTGTGTGCGCATCCCCTCCACTTGCTGTTGCATGCTGCAAAAGTCTTGAAACTGGCATCCCTGCCCGCGCGTTTCGTGCAGTTACCTTTTATTATGTATATGTTATAGTCAGAGTTTGCAAACTCTGGCCGGCTAGCAGGGAAAACACCGAGGTGGTGGGGGCATGCACACCATAGGTTCTCGCCAGTGTTTACAGTTTTCGCTCTCTTACAGCATGCTAAAGCGGTGTATAGGATGCGCACAACAGCAGCGAGTTTATACAGGTAGAACTCGCTGCTGTTGTGCGCATCCCTTTCACCGCTTCAACAGAGAGAGCAAAATTGTGGACACTGGTTCTCGCTTGAATGCGTGCCCCTACCACCTCGGTGTTCTTGCTGCCAGCCGGTTAGAGTTTGCAACTCTGGTTATAGCATAGACGTAGAATGTATAGACTGTGCGTTCCCTGTCTTTGCCATGTTAAGAAAATGTCTTCAACGTTGAGAGAGACAGCTGGTGTTGAGCAGTAGCCTCAACTTTGTCTGGCGAAGTAGTGGGGGAAAAAGAAGTTTTCGCTAATTGACAGAATAGTAGTGGAAAAGTGGGAATAGAAAAATAGTGGAGGTGAAGAGGAATGTAAGAGATTAAGGGGTGATGGCAGAGTAGGCGGTATGAAACAGTAGACTCTGATCCCACCACAGACATTGATAGACAGAGAGAGAGAGTTACTATTCAAAGTATGTTGTCTCTGTCAACCATGAAGACATCTTTTCAGCCAAACGCGCAGTCTATATATTCTACGTCTATGGGTTATAGTATATGCTGTTATATTAGCTCCTTCCATGCGTTGCTACGGGTAACACCGTGAGCGCGCGAAGCGCCGGGCTTACGCGCGTAAGACAGCCTGATGCATGCTTATTCGCGGTGTTAACAAATAATTGCAGTGACAAATAATCTTGTTAATTAAGATCTCGGTAACTATTGCAAATCTTACAAAATGGTATAGGACTTTTTCACTCAGTTTTACTTCTTCTACCTACCTACAAGAGGTATTACACCAATTGTCGGACATCCGTATATATACATAGAGTTCTCAAAAAGTCCGGAAACACTACAAAATCTCGGAAACGATCAACTCTAGCAAACAATATGTAAGAAGCAAAGTTGTAGGACTTAAAAATGTACCTACTATTGATAAGAGGTTGACTTTGGGCAAAGTCTGCAAAATCATATGAAGATCAAGTTGAATTTTGTAAATGGGACCTCTTTTTTTTATTAATTGTTTCTTATAGCTTATTTCAAGAGCTCTAATAAAAAAATATAATGTTTTCCAAAACACTAAAATAAAATATTGTTTTATTAAGTACTTCTCGAGTTATAAGGCTTGAAAGTTATCTAGTTAGGGCTAGAGAATTATTAGTATTAGCATTACTCAAGGTGCAACGCGTAGAGGTTGCATGTTTGGATTTACATTCGAGAAGTACTTGCAAAAAAAAAACAATATTTTATTGTTAATAAAAAAAACAATATTTAATATAATTTTATTATAGTGTTATATGGAAAACATTATATTTTTTTAATTATAGTTCTTGAAATAAGCTATAAGAAACATGCAATAAAAAAAGGAGGTTCCACTTACAAAATTCAACTTAACCTTCGTATGACCTTGCAGACTCCACTCAAGGTCAATCTCTTATCATTAGCAGGTACATTTTTAAGTCCTACAACTTTCCTTCTTACATATTGTTTGCTAGAGTTGATCGTTTTCGAGATTTTATAGTGTTTCTGGACTTTTGAGGACCCTGTACACAAACACACATACACACACAAAATGATTTATAAAATAATATACGTCATGCTGCTTCGGTCAGGCACGAGTCGCCAAAGATCTAAAGGACCTACGTGACCAGAGTGTGTTTGCGTTCTTTATGATGAATGCTCTCTTCGTCCTGATCGTCTTTCTGCTGCAATTGAACAAAGACTTGTTGCACATCAAGTGGCCTTTCGGTATCAAGACGAACGTCACGTATGATCAAAGCTCTCTGGAGGTAAAGTTAACTCCATCGGTGTCTCACATCCTCGATCGAGAGATTTATCTTGACAATTGTTTTTAACAATATGCTTTAATTTAAAGTATGTGCATTCAGCACAAGAGTTTCGTAATTTGCTTGCTGAAAATAAACAAACAATTTTCTAACGATTAATTATCGGAGAGATAACGAAAAAGATCCATGGATTGATAGACTGACCGATGGAGAATTTTATTTTTACTATTCTAATCTTGTGCCGTTTGTTTTCTTTTTTCCCGCATTTACTCCACATACACAACACAGGCCCGCATCGCCGCCGACCTGATTGAGCTGCGCAACAAGAGCGTATTTGCGTTTTTAATGTTCAATGCATTGTTCGTTCTGATTGTATTCTTGCTACAGCTCAACAAGGATCAGCTACACGTTGTTTGGCCGCTTGGCGTCAAGACCAACATCACTTATATTGAAGAGACCTCGGAGGTATCTGATGACCAAGCATCAGAAAGGAAAAAATAAACTTAAATGGTGTTCTGTTGAAATCATTTCCGATGTGCTCGCAAAATCTTCAAATGCTTGTATTTTTCAAAAAAAAAGAATTTCAAATAATATATCGCAAATAGTTTTTAATAATGAACAAACAAATAATGAAATATTTTGTAGTTTAAATTTGTAACTATTTCAGTTTTCGGATTCAGCAAGTTTCAGTTTTTCCGATTTCAAAAGTAATTTATTAAAGAATACACATCGGAGACGATTATTTTATACATATGTACCCTAATAGGCAAATTGTGAAAATATTGCACAAAAATGGCATCATGAATAACGACGATCCTGCAATGATTGCACTAAGATGATTCGCCATAACGCAACAGTTCTGTCGAAATAAAAGTTTGTAAATAATATTTGTCAAAAATTGCGAAAAAGTCGTTATGCATTTCCACAGTATATACCTNCAATAGGCAAATTGTAAAAATATTGCACAAATATGACATCATGAGTGACGACGATTTCTTGCATTTCTTCATATGCAATCATATTTCTACATATTTTAAAGATTACATAGCTGAATTTCTTTTCTCAATTATTGAACAATTTCTTTGTGAAATTAATTTTGCAAATATACTGCTAAGATGATTCGCCATATCGTTATTCTTTTGCCGAAATAGTATTTGGAAAGTAATTTTGCAAACAACTACAAATATTTCAGAAAAGATCAATGGTTTTACATTTATTTCCTAAAATATGTCTGTATAATTGCAAATTACAATTTTAGTGCAAGATTTTGTCACATAATTTTGTAAATGTTTTCCTATCAGGGTATAAGAAATGTGATATTGGCACCTGCTCGACTCAACGTGTACATATATATTAACACATTGGCATTTGTGAGCACGTGAAAAGTCTGTGATTAATATTCTCACACACAGGTACTTCACCCCTTACATGGTTCGGATGGAATAGCGGAATGGGGAAAGATGATTTCTAGTGACTCTGACTAGAAATAATCAGAATTTAATCGCCTGAGTGTCGTAATAATACACTTTTTCGTTTGTTCTACTCTATCTTTTATGTAAAAAAAAAAATACAATCAAGTCTGTAATTCTCATGAAATTGAATTCTATTAAAGACGTTCTCCGACTACAGTGGTTAGCAACCTAAATACAGTGGTTAGCAACCTAAAATATCTCTTCTCATGAGTAAGTTTGTACTGCTGTAACAAAGTTAAGTTGAGCTATTCAGCACTGCTAAGACCCGCTTACTCTGCGCAGAAGTTCAAAAATAGCTGCAGTACACGGCGCACATAAATCCAGCAAAACAAAAAAAAACCAAAAAAAAAAGCTACAGTTTGAAAACAAGGGTTGCTCGCCGTATTATTCAAAATCCTATTTTAATTAAGATACTCTCCGCTACCACATACTTGTTTTTTAAAAAAATCCTACAAAAATTGTCGTCAGTAACTTCAAAAAACCCCACTTCACAAAGGCTCGGCATAGGAAATCCATGTTAAAAATTGAAACTTAAATCTTCCATATTTTGGAATTTAACATTGCTACCCTTATTATCCAAAAAGGCTACGTATAAATAAGATCATAAACTATGTATATCGCAAATTTAAAGAAAATCCTAGAAAAATCAATAATTCGGAGAACGTCCTTAATGTAATTATAATATGACGTAAATCACAATGACTTGAAAGTAAAGGAAGATTTTTTCAAAATTGAAAGCTGATAATTTGTAAAAAAACAAAAGTTATTGAAAACGCAATAAGTACAATTATAATAGATCTGCCTTTGCAAAATTCTTGAGACAGAATCTTCTAGATTTGAGAATCTCAGATCTACGAATTTTTACGGATCTGTATCTCTCTTTCTTTTCATTGTGTCTAACTCTGTGACATATTGCACCATATTATCACATATTGAAAATAGACAAGAATTACTAACGTACGTAACGCAGTAGATACTCACATATCTTTTCACTAAAAGTTTGACTAAAGTCATTTTCTTTGATTTATAAATATAAATGTTTGTGTGTGTTTATGTTTGTCGTTGTGTGTGCGTGTGTGCGCGTGTGCGCGCCCGCGCAATAAATGTATAGTTATTCTTAACCGCACGCACGAAAATTATCGATGATTGCGAGAACTTAACTGCTAACAATTTGTTCACATAATTGTTATATAATCAATGCACGTAACTTTATGAAAGAGCGATTTCTTTTGATGATCAAGTATTATTGATATTATTAAAATAATTGTGTCAGTTTTATTAAAATACTTTTTTAAAATAAAACTTTTAAAAGTAAAATTTAATTTAATAATTATTACACACATTAATTATGTAGATTGCTCTAAAGATTTGATCATTATTCGGTGTCCTCTTTCAAAGAAATTTTAAAAATTAACGATTAATAGTGCATTGCGACATTTTTTATACACAAGCAATTTTACAGGTACACATCACAAAGGAATACTTGCAACTCGAGCCGATCGGTCTTGTATTTGTATTTTTCTTTGCGTTGATATTGGTCATACAATTCACCGCAATGTTGTTCCACCGATTCGGCACGCTGGCTCACATCTTAGCCAGCACCAGCTTGAACTGTTGCAAAAAGGTGCGCATTTGTATTTTTTTTATGAAATTATATAAAGAGATTTAAGTTATATTAATTTTATTTTTGTCAATATTGTGATTTTGCAAAACATCAACAATTCTTGCAGACGAAAGAACTTTCGGAAGAAGCCTTACTATCGAAACATGCGATCGATATAGTAAGAGATTTACAAAGATTAGACGGAATAGAAGGTGACTACGAAGAAGGCAGCAGTAGCGGGCCAGGTAGACGGAAAACGATCAGAAATCTGGAGAAGAGTCGCAGGAAGACGCAAGCAATCAACACACTCGACGTGGCCTTCAGGCAGCGGTTTTTCAGCACTACCAATGGAGGTACGAAAAAAATCTAAAGCAATATATTATCTCTTAAACAAATTAATTTCTATACAGTTAATGTGTCAAATTGACATATTGATTTTTTTATTCGCCAGGCCTTTTGCCGAGAAACATGTCGACGCGACGCACGACAGAGGCGTTTAAAGCGTTCGAGGGCAGGCGCAATAGTATAATGGCAATGCGTCGGAAGTCGCAGATGCAAACTCTAGGTGCGAATAACATTTACGGCGTGGCCGGCAATCCGCTAGGGATTCAAGGTCGACCGATTCGCAGCAGTCAGATATCTGTAAAAGACGTATTCGAGGGACACGGGACGGGACACATAAACTCTGGTTACGAAGGCGACGACATGCCGGGCAACAGCCTACAGATGCAGAATCTCAGCTGCAATCAAGTCACGTGGCGAGAAGTAAACTCAAATGTATGATTTTTTAAAATGTAGATAAGTAATGAAAGAACTGGATGAATTATACGTATGACTGAAAAGCCGAGTATCGTTTTTCCAAGTCGTGTTTTGAAAAAACGGAGAGATTATAATATGCTTCTGAACACAAATCGTTGAGAATTTTAACTATAAAATTCAAATATTTGCTTGAGATTGTTGAAGAATCAAATAATAGTTTATGAAGCCTAATTTTATCCTATATTTTTCACACATATCTTTTAGATATGTTTTAACTGATCTTTGTCATTCTTATCGTCTATTTTGTATTATCTACGACGCGTAAAAGGATGTATTCTGCGTATCTTAAAAATATTATTTATTAAATTATAATATGAAAGTTTGTTGCTTTCTCTTTTAACTGCACTTTTGTTATACTTTCTTGAGTCTTATACTACTTTTTTGTGACATTTCGTTTTCAGTAAATGTAATACAGTTAAAAGAAAATAGACTTGATTTTTATATTGTTACTGCCAAGACATATCGAAGATCACGATAATTACGCTTATTTGCTCCATTTTCATTATTATATGTGATAAGACTAATATTTAAAATGTGCGATTGTGTGTGTACGATATTATATATATACATATATATAATATCGTACACACGTATATATATATATATATAGTTGTATGTAATGCACGTATGTTCTTTTTATAATTATACATGTATAATATGTGAAAATGTATGAAAGAGTTCCATAAACTTTATTCACAAATAAAATTGGCGGTTCCGACGCGATTGTCTTTTGTATTTCATTCACAACTAATTACATATAATAGTTTTTGACTAATATAACTATAAATCAGCTATTGTGTCATTTTACCTTGTTTTTTATGTAATGAGCGATAGAGTAATGGAATAGTGCAGATAGTACGCTCTTCAAACCAGAGATTGTAACCATAACCCGTATTAGTTTCGGTTCTCAATAACCCTTCTTCTTACCTAACCCAGTGTAACCCACGTAACCTAAAGAATTGACTATTAAATGCTGTTGAGGAACCCGATTAACCCGATAAGAACGGATTTTGAGCACGAAGGTTAGACTTTTTATTTACAATTACATAAAACGGTTCAATTTTCTCACAAAGTGATTTCAAATAATGTAAAAACGGATTCCATGGAAATTACCGGCACAGAATTTACCGACACTGTTTTTACCGACAGCATTTCATCGACTCCAGATTTGATCAACAACGACTTTAATCGACAACAACTTCAACCAACAGTAACATTGATTGACAACATTATCCGTATAATATTCACTGGCAATGATGTATTATTTTATTGACTTCGCACTTTTCTTTTGATACCTAGATAGCCAACTGAGTGCAAGTTGTTGGCAACTTGCCACAAATATTACTCGTATGTTTTCAGCAATGTAACAAAAGGGTGTATCCTCTTTTCAGTATGTTCTTGCCAGCAACAGTTTTCAAAATATAATAACAGCAAGTTCTCAACAACTCATCAGGAATAAACTTATATTATTTTTCTTAACTTATGAGTAAAAATTATTGCTCATATATTGCTCACATATTGCTGACTCACGTGTCATAACCATTGGCGCTACAACAATTGATTGATAATAAAACTCAGCATATTGATACTGAATTGACAAAAACATTTTCGTTGCATTAAATAAAAACAACACAACAGCAATTGGCGAGCAACTTAATCTATACAATGATTTGCTTTATATTGAGTTTTCACATTTGGCTATCTGGGTATAGTGAGTGATAGGAAGTGGAAGTCTCTTTTGCCCACGTTGCGATTGACCACGAGTTATTTTTGCGATTGCCCACGTTGATATTGACCACGTCGCGATTGACGTCAAATTTATAATTTTCCACGCAAAGCCACTCTCTCTGCGGGGGGGGGGAGGGGGAGGCGCAGTCCCCTAGCTTAGACGATTACAACACAAACAAAAAGAAGAAACACCGTTGTATCAACCGTGTGATGTCTATTTTTATAGACAAATAAAAAACTTTATCAAGCGTTTGCAAAACTACAATCTTAATAGAACAACAGCGCGAAATATCATCTGGCGAGAATTGTATCAAAATTCACTCTCTTATACATCATCAATTGTCCGCTCCAAGTTTTACGAATATGTTAAAATATGCGTGGTTCGCGTCCAAATTAACAGATGAAAGAGAAGTCTTTATGAATGTAAATGAAGTTTGTTTCCCATTAAATATTTTAAAAACACTTTGTGAATGTAAAAATGCAGCATTTGTACGATGCGCACATTGTCGACAAAATTATTGTTTTCATTGTTTCTATGATAAATTTCATCCAGCAACATGTAATATGCCTTCTTGCAGTTAAATAAAACACGTTTCACATTTATTCGCATAGCACTGATTTTTCCGATATTATTATAAATTATAAACACAATAAAAAATTTATTAATTACATTTATTTTGAATAATAATAGCATTATATTATAAAAATTAATATTAAAAAAAAAAGTCATCGAGACTCGAAACAGCAGCGTTCTTACCACTACTATTAGTCTAGCGCGCTAACGCTGTGCCACGCGCTCTTCGATAAAACACTATCTGTTATGTCTATATATATCTACTTATATCTCTCGAAAATTTTTAATTGCAATTTTCTCGCAAACGCTTGAGTAGTGCGTCTTATGCGTTTACCCTGTAACACTTGGCATAGTAACCTATCAATACAAAACGTTTCAGTGAAATCGATTGGTCACACATCGTGCCCTCTACTTGTCAGATAATTCACACACAAGATACACATATAAGCTTTCTCATCACATCGTTAGTATGCAACATAATATGTTTTCCACTTGTTTCAAGTATTTTAATATGCAAAAATATAAACTATAATTATAAATATAAACAATTATATAAATATAAT